AAAAAAAAAAAAAAAAAAAAAAAAACAATAAACAATGAGTGGAAATATAATCACGCCTTCTCATCCTCTTCGCTGCCTCAACTCACTCTCCCAAAATACTCATTTCTTCTTCCCCTCCCTCCTCCTCGCCGGAGAGAGAAGACGACGATGAGAATCCGCCTCCTCCTCCTCTTCCTCCTCGTCCACATTTCCCATTCCTTCGGCGCACGCGTCGTCTCTGAGTACCGAGCCTTGCTTACTGTCAAATCCGCCATCACCGACGATCAATCCGCGCTCGCCTCCTGGAATGCCACCACCTCCCACTGTTCCTGGGCTGGTGTCACCTGTGACCTTTCCGGCCAACACGTCACTTCCTTGAACCTTTCCGGCCTTAACCTTACGGGGACGCTTTCACCTGCCCTGGCTCACCTACGCTTCCTCCAAAACCTGTCTGTTGCGTTGAACCAGCTCTCAGGGCCCATTCCCACTGAGCTTTCGGCTCTCTCTGCTCTCCAATTTCTCAACCTTTCGAACAATGTCTTCGACGGTTCATTCCCTCACCAACTCTCTCAGTTGAAAAACCTCCAGGTTCTCGATTTGTACAATAACAATCTGACCGGGGAGTTGCCGGTTTCCGTTACGCAGCTTCCTAATTTGAGGCATTTGCATTTGGGCGGAAACTATTTCAGTGGTCAGATCCCGCCGTCGTATGGCAGCTGGGAGTTTTTGGAGTATTTAGCGATTTCCGGCAACGAGCTACTCGGTAAAATCCCTCCGGAAATCGGTAACTTGACCAAGCTACAGCAGCTGTATATTGGTTATTACAACAACTTTGAAGGAGGCTTGCCCGCGGAGATCGGGAACTTGTCGGAGCTAGTGAGGTTCGATGCCGCCAACTGCGCTTTATCCGGCCAGATACCACCAGAAATCGCTAAGTTGCAGAAGCTGGATACACTTTTTCTCCAAGTGAATGTTCTCTCGGGTCCTCTTACGCCTGAGCTTGGGAGTTTGAAGAGCCTGAAATCCATGGACTTGTCAAACAATTTTCTCACCGGAGATATACCGGACACTTTTGCGCAGCTCAAGAACTTGACGCTGTTGAATCTGTTTAGGAACAAGCTCCATGGGTGGATTCCGGAGTTTATCGCTGAGTTGCCGGAGCTGGAGGTGCTGCAGTTGTGGGAAAATAACTTTACTGGGAGCATTCCTCAGGGGTTGGGAACTAATGAAAAGTTGCAGCTTCTTGACGTTTCTTCCAATAAGTTGACAGGAACTCTGCCGCCGGACATGTGCTCCGGTGACAATTTGCACACTGTGATTACTTTGGGCAACTTCTTGTTCGGTCCGATACCAGAATCATTAGGGAAGTGTCAGTCTTTGAGTCGGATTCGGATGGGAGAGAACTTCCTTAATGGGTCGATTCCGAAGGGGCTTTTCGGGTTGCCGCAGCTCACCCAAGTTGAATTGCAAGATAACATTCTCACTGGAGAGTTCCCCGTGACAGATTCCATATCTGAGAATCTGGGTCAGATCAGTCTTTCCAACAATCAGCTTACCGGCTCGTTACCAGCTACAATCGGTAACTTTTCCGGGGTGCAGAAGCTGCTTCTTGACGGTAACAGGTTCTCGGGTCAGATCCCTCCGGAGATTGGTAGATTGCAGCAGCTGTCAAAAATGGACTTCAGCCACAACAAGTTATCCGGACCCATTGCCCCAGAGATTAGCCAATGCAAGATGTTAGCTTTCATTGATCTTAGTCGAAATGATCTTTCCGGTGAGATTCCGACTGAGATCACAGGTATGAGGATACTGAATTACTTGAATCTGTCAAGAAATCATTTGGTTGGTAGTATTCCTGGGTCAATAGCTTCTATGCAGAGTTTAACTTCTGTTGATTTCTCGTATAACAATCTCTCTGGTTTGGTTCCGGGCACGGGTCAATTTAGTTACTTTAACTACACATCATTTTTGGGGAATCCTGGACTCTGTGGCCCTTATTTGGGACCCTGTAGAGATGGGGTTGCTAATGGAACCCATCAAACCCATGTGAAGGGGGGACTCTCTCCTTCTTTGAAGCTTTTGCTTGTTATTGGGCTGCTTGTGTGCTCCATCTTGTTTGCAGTTGCGGCAATATTCAAGGCAAGATCATTGAAGAAGGCTAGTGAGGCCCGAGCTTGGAAATTGACAGCATTCCAGCGCTTGGAGTTCGCTTGTGATGATGTCTTGGATTGCTTGAAGGAGGATAACATTATTGGGAAAGGTGGTGCAGGAATTGTGTACAAGGGGGTTATGCCTAATGGTGATCAGGTTGCGGTGAAGAGACTACCTGCAATGAGCCGGGGGTTTTCTCATGACCATGGATTTAATGCTGAGATACAGACTCTGGGAAGGATTAGGCACAGGCATATTGTTAGACTGTTGGGTTTCTGCTCAAATCATGAGACTAATCTTTTGGTCTATGAGTACATGCCTAATGGAAGCTTGGGAGAGGTTCTTCATGGCAAGAAAGGGGGTCATTTGCATTGGGATACAAGGTATAAGATTGCCGTGGAGGCTGCTAAGGGCCTTTGCTATCTGCACCATGATTGCTCGCCTTTGATTGTCCATCGTGATGTGAAATCAAACAACATCCTTCTGGACTTTAATTTTGAAGCTCATGTTGCTGATTTTGGCCTGGCTAAATTCCTGCAAGATTCGGGCACATCCGAGTGCATGTCTGCAATTGCCGGTTCTTATGGTTACATCGCCCCAGGTATAATTTATTCTTCAAAATTAATTAATTTTGTGTATGTTTTGTATTTTTTCAGATCTATGCTAGTTTTCTTTAACGGTTCCCATTTTGTCAAAAAAAGATTAGGTGTTTTCCTTACAAACCTTGACTCGTGGCTTGATTTAGGTCTTGAGATAATTGCTTTAGTACCTACCAATTACCATGATGTCTCTCTGTACTTCACTTCTGACTTTGGAGTTTTAAGGTCATTGTTGGAGTTTTAAGGTCCTTGTTGAAATGATTTGTGCTCTGAATTTATCTTTGGAATGTAATAGTGTCTTCAATTTAATTAGTTGACGGACGAGCTTTGAAAGTACACCAACCTATTTTTAGTTTGACCAAATAATATTGTCCATCATTTAAGCCTTATATCTTAAAGCAAAATTTCAAATAGATTATAACTTTAATTTTTCAATCTTGCAAATGGGCAGCAACAGTAGCGATTAAGAGCAAATAAGATTTTCTACTAGAAAGTTTGACCGAGAATTGATTGTCCTGTTTTGCAGAGTATGCTTACACACTGAAGGTAGATGAGAAGAGCGATGTGTACAGCTTTGGTGTGGTGCTGTTAGAACTTGTTAGTGGTAGAAAGCCAGTAGGAGAGTTTGGTGATGGCGTAGACATTGTTCAATGGGTACGGAAAATGACAGATTCAAAGAAGGAAGGAGTTCTCAAAATCCTGGACCCCAGACTCTCTTCAGTTCCACTCCATGAGGTGATGCATGTGTTCTATGTCGCGATGCTCTGTGTTGAAGAACAAGCTGTAGAGCGCCCAAAAATGCGCGAAGTTGTCCAAATCCTTACAGAACTCCCAAAACCACCCTCCTCAAAACAGGGAGACTCCACAGTCAGTGAGTCCTCACCATCACCAGCCACCGCCATTGACTCTCTTAGTCCTAACACAACCAAGAACCCAAAAGACCATCAACAACCGCCTCAATCGCCACCACCGGATCTTCTCAGCATCTAAAGTAATAACATGTTTTGGAGGAGTGCTAAGTATTTGCTTCTTCTAAATTTCATGAATCATGGTAGTTATTTATTACTTGTTGGTGTTCTTTTATTTTCACTACTTTTTGGTGGGTGGGGGGATTTGCTCTAACTTTAAGGCGTTTGAAAGCTTTTTTGTGTACAGTAGGATTGGTGGGGAGGGGGTATTATTTACTTGTAAACTTTTGTATTCTTCATCTCATCAGTGCTGCCATTCTGCCGTGTTAAAACTGTTGTAGTTC